AGTCATAGGTAGGGGTGTTAATTTAGTGTTACTTTGGAAAATAAATGTAAATGAATCATTTATACTTAAAAAATAAATATAAATAAATGAAAAAAAAATTTATCTTTATTTTATAAAAGTAAATGATCCATTTATCTTTATTTTATAAAAGTAAATGATTCGTTCGGTATCCATCTTCATCAAATTGACGTTTCGTGTAAAGCTTAAAAAACAACACGCAGTTATTCGAAAAAGACGCTCCAGAAAAAAAATTTCCAGTCTTACTTTTTGACAAACGATTTTTGATTTTGCATATACTTGTTTCAATAACGTTGACTTTCCTTGTGCCACGTCCAATAATTGATTTCGCAAGATATCATAAATATACAGTAAATAATGAGTATCTTCACGAGCGTAACGAACATAATCTGGAGGTAATGGTCTAAAAAGAATAGATCACCAGTTAATGATATGGCTCATCATCATATCTTACCTAATTCTCCAATCGGCTAATTGATACTCTTTATTCGCATCAATATTGACGTGCTGTTTTAATAAATATGCCAGTGACATTGCTGGAAGATTTAATTCTTTGGCAGCACAATACGTATCGAACATATTCACCACATATAAACCAAAATCTCTTTGTAACCATAGAATGTCATTATCAGCACCATGAAATACCTAAAAACAAGTCTTATAATGGAGACACAAAATGGACTCTCGCTTTTTAAAGAATGTCTTTATATAACACCTAATTTGTTTATTATAAAGAAGAATAAGATGGGTAAATTTCTTATACTGGAAAAAGGCTGAAAATGAGAACAAGTGATCAAACAAATCAGAAACAAAATTTATGTCCGAGCTACTTCATTTTCCATGGAGATGGTGTCGGAATAAGTTATTCAAAATTGTTCAAGCATCAAACTCGCTCAAACTTTATACATATGTTTTTCTGTCTATGATATGCATTTACAGATACCATATAGGTTCCCCGACCGTACAGCAGGTTTTGCAAAAAACCTTCATTTCTCTCAGATGTAGTGATGGGATTCGTTTGCGCTCTACTTTGAATATCCTTACTCTACATGATATTAGTCCCAAGTTGGTGACCACAAGGATGAAAGAAAATTATTCAAACAAATTTGAGCAAAAAAATTGTTTCCAAATAATTTTATACGGATTAGTTTATATCGGCTTATTACTAAATTCATTTAAATCAAATTGCAAAAAAATTAATTGAGATTAATTGAACTTTCAAACTATTTCGCATTTTCGA